ACACTGGGACCTTAAGTCATAACCATCAGTTTTTCTCTTTAATGCACCAAAAAATAAGGGACAGGACATGACATTAGAATTATGATAAAAGAAATTAAAGGCAGAGCCAAAAGCGCTCAGAAAGGTGCCGGTTAAGTGTAACTGCATTATCGGGAAGCCTTGAGTGCTCAAAACGATATTCACATTATGCTAACTCAATTCTTTAGCACGAAGACTAAAATTGTCAAACATGTGCAAATCCTTCCCAAAACGCAAGCATGGTGCAGATTCAGCACTCCTACCTACTAGATTGTAAGGAGATTCAAATCACCAAATGGCAACTCATAACTTTCCAGACTTCCACAACTAAAGCAGTATAATGCTTGTTCTTCACAAGGATTGTATCAGTGCTTATGATTACCTCAGGGGCAGGACGACCATAATCGACAGGATCTCTCCCAGTGATTGCTTCCAGCAGTAAAACCCCAAAGCTATAAACATCGCCTTTTCCATTCAAAAGGCCAGTGTTTGCAAATTCAGGAGCCACATATCTGTGTTATATTTAGACAGGGACAAGTGAATAAGAGATGATTAAAACTTTGCCCACATAGAACGAGAAATTTAAAAAAAAAATGCAGAGAGAGGATGAAGGGAGAACTAGCTTATAACTAGCTTATAACTTATAAGCACATGCAAACATGCATAAGAGAGAATACTTGCCCAAATGTTCCCATGACTCGAGTTGTGACATGACTTTTCCCAGCACCCAGCAACTTGGCAAGACCAAAATCAGAGACCTTGGCATTGAACTCATCATCAATCAATATATTGCTTGACTTAAATAGATAATAACATCATTGGTATACGCCTGTCCTGAAGTGAAAACGTTGGTACCGCTCACGTCTACCATGCGGAATAATAGTAACCATCCGATGCGGACTTATCCTGATCCACTCCAGGACAAGAGTCCAAATTCACCTGATTAGGCCGGCCCAGGTTAAAACTTTTGTTGGGCCCCATTTTTCCACAAAGCCCCAATCCATTGACATGTGGGCTGCTGCTGCTTGGGCTCAGGCCCCTAGGAAAAGTACTAACTTGTGGGGTAATAATATTCTGCCGCAATGTACATAACATTATGTTGCTCCTGACTTCTCCTTTCATCCGCTGTTACAATTTGGGACGTCCAATTAATGGGTTTTGGGTGATTAAGAGAAAGGATTGCCTCACAATTAAAATATTAAAAATGGTAATAATAAAAAAAAATAGTACATATCAGTTTTACCTCCTAAAGGTTAAGAGAAAAATCATTCCAAAACTACATCGTTTCAATAAATTTTTATTAAAAAAGACCAAACTACACTATTTTTAAAGTATGCATTAAGATAATTTTTGTCATTTTTCCTCTTAAGTTTTTAAAGATAGAGCAGATAAACACTAACCCCATAATAAAAGTTAAATATTTTGATCTCTATGCTTCGACCTAACCGAGGCTAAGACGCTTGATTAATGGCGATTTCCTGTGAGTTGTGCTTATGAGCCCATAGAATCTTCTTTCTTTAATCTCCATCCACCTAAATATATATTAATTGCTCTCCTTAAAAAAAGAATTTAAATATTTTTAATGAATTAATATGTAAAAAAAAATATGAAAGCATTTAAATAATTTTATCTATATTTTTTAATGTCTTAATTTTAATTTTTTAAAATAAATAAATTTAAAAAATAATGCATATTAATTTT